AATGAATAAGTATGGCTCAGAAGAGATATGATAAGAAACTCCCATCTCTTCCCTTTGCAAAGGTGGGAGGTCCACAAGAGTTGTACATTGAACATATTTTTCAGACTTTTGGATGCACTGAAAAGTTATGCTGATTTTTTTCCTCTTTTTTCTGGCTTTAAAAAAATACTATTTATTATATGAGATGGTTTTCTGCGAGGGGAAGAGTGACACTGGGAATGATACTGGGAGGAACTACAGTGATGGTAAAAAAAATAAATCAATAAAAACTTATTTTAAAAAATAATCACATGGATCTCCTGCAATTTAAGAGCCCAGCTGTGAATCGACATTTTCACAAAAACTGAACTTAAAATGTACCTTCAATGACAGATAACAGAACCTCAACTCAGAAGAGTAATTAAAGCTAAAGATAAGAATACTGGAATCAAACAGCCAGTTTTTAGCACACAACAAGCAGCTGCCAAGACATAAATAGTTTTCACGCCCTTTTTTCTAGAAAATGAAAAGGAATGCAATGGTTTTTATATTGTTTGCTTCTTTATACAACCTTTAGGGAAAATATATTTGCTTTTTTTTTTTACACCACATATGTAACTTCTAAAGTCTACAATTGTCACTGGCCTAGTGGGATTCTTTGTTTAAAAGGATGGCTCTTTAGGAGTGGGAAGGGAAATCAAGGTGACCTAAAAACAAAATATGAATAAAACTCTATTTAAAACAAAGCACTGGCCATTCAAGAGGAATTTTGGAAGTTCATTAAGACAGAAGAAAGAAAGTATTAGAGAGGTTGAATAACTTGCCCAAAATCATACCTACTAAGTGGTTGAGCCAAAACTAAGATAGGAAGTCTCTTCTTTATTCTTTTCATTGTATTAATTCAAAAGTATCAACATGGCTAGAAAAAACTCCAAACGTACAGAACTTAAAGGGTTGGGGTGGGAGGTGGTTCTTTAGTAACACAACAACTCAAGATTCTGTGAAACTCAACAATTCTCACAGTTCCTGGTACTGGGAGTGTTTAGCTTGAAGAAAATCAGATTTATGATGAACAGAACAGCTGTCTTCAGGTATTTATTTGAAGGGCTATCATAAATTCAACTTGCTCTGCTTTGCCCCAAAGACAAGGGCCAGGAGCAATGAGAGGTAGGTGTAGAAAGGAATATTTAGGACAAAGGAAAAGAAAACATTCCTAACAAAGCTACCCAAAAGTGAAATGGCCAACCTGACTAAAGGTCATTGAGCAAACCTACAAGACCACTCGTCGAAGTATGTTGTATGGTTTGTTCAGGTACATCCTGGGCTACACCTTATCTTCCAACTGAGATTCTGTCATTATGTCCAAACAAAATAATAAGCATTCACACTCAATGGAGAGAATGTATGGATCAGCACCAGTCTTTCCATAAGTTACTTTTTCAATAATATTAACAGCTAGGGGGCAGTTAGGTGGTGCAGTGGATAGAGCACCGGCCCTGGATTCAGGAGGACCTGAGTTCAAATCTGGCCTCAGACACATAACACTTACTGTGTGACCCTGGGCAAGTCACTTAACCCCACTGCTTAGCCCCCCCCAAAAAATGATTAAAAAAATAATATTAATAGCTAGCATTTTATACAGTGCTGTAAGATTTGCAAAGTGCTTTACAAATACCACCTCCTCATTTTTATCCTTCCAATAACCCTGGGAGGTAAGTGTTCTGACTAGTCCCCATTTCAGAGATAAGTAAACTGAAACAGACAAGTTTAGTGACATGCTCAGGGTCACATAGCTGGTGTCTGAGGCAGGACATGAGTTCAGCTCTTCCTGACTTCAGGTCTAGCACTCTATCCACTAAACGAATTTTAGGTTATAAGCAAAAATGGCCAAAACTAGCTTGAGTCACTCAGCCTAAGCCTCTTTCAAAGGTTAAACAAACTGTCACAAATGTTCAAAGATAATGTACTCTCCTCCAGCTTAAAAAAAAAATGATAACACTTAACTATCACATATGTTTCAAGTTATGTTTCTTATCTTGTTTATGGAGGGGTCCAAGGTCTTGAACAGAACAGTCTTTCAATAAACATTTCTGGAATTAAAAACCTAGGCTCACATTGAGCTTGCCACATTTTCTTGTCCTCTCTTCATTGAGAGTTGGCTTTCAACAAGAGCTTTTCCCCATGCAAAGCTGTATCTTCTCATATAAAAACTCAACCTACAACACTGACCTCATTAATACCAAAACCTAAATAGTTCAGACATTTCAAAGTAGAAAATAATGTTTCCAAACAATATTTTTCAGTAAAAAAGTAAAAAATTCTGGAGAAAAAGATATTTTTCCTGATGTTCTTGAGGCACCCAAAGTCATGTCTGTCACTTAATGATTAAGTATGCTTTACCTTTTTACTCAGTCCTGCACCCCAACTCACAATTTCACTGTCCCTAACTGTCTATTAAGTTTGCTTGGGAAAAAATCTCCATTACATGATGCCACTATTAAGTCTGGAAGGGTAATGATTAAGTCACAAATACCAGAATATGCATTTCTTGACTGAGGAATCATTACTTTTTTGTTACCTTAATTAAAAAATACAAACACAGCTAGAAAAACTCAAAAAGTACACAGATTAATGCTGGGGGATTAATAACAACAACTCAAGAATCTGTGAAACTCAGCAATTTTCATATTTACTGGAACTCTGAGTGTTTATCTTGAAGAAAAGACTTATGAGACAGAATAGCTATCCCAAAACCATAGCTTTAATTGACGTATAAGCAGGAAGGAGACTAAGATGTCTGACTTGAACAAAATGATCCCAAAGATATCCTCCAGTGATCTGAATCCATGCTGCCAGTACTACTCCAAGTGTCCTGCTCTTTCACTGCTTTAGAAGCTGGAGGAGTATAGGATGGAACAGTGTTAAAGCACTCCCTTTGCCAATGTTAGATAAAACAAATAGGAGTTCATGGAAGTCCTTACTGCTGCAACTGCAGCGACAGGTATCAAGAGCAGCAACTAGATAATGGCACTTACTGCTTGCTCTGTGCTCCATCAGGATTTTCCCCCTATGCACCCCAGCCCCCAGTTCAGCTACATCCTATCCTATGTGAAGCAGTCTCCCCTCTGTCCTCAACTACCTGTCTCTCCCACTCTAGCCTTCAAGAGGCTATGATGATCTCTGCTCAATCTGGACTCAACAGGTCTGTCTCCGGAAGGACTCTCAAACTATGTTTGACGCTGGCCTTGTTTCCTGCAATCAACTAACGGGTGTCAGGAATCTACAATGGAGCGCACTGGCAAGCAGATTAGGTAAGCTGCACCTAAGGGGTTCTGGAGGGATGTTCCCACTACATACTTTCAATTCAGTCAAACTTAGAAGATAGTGTGCTTTTAAAGTACATCATGTAGCTGATCCCTTAACAAATAATGCATCCATTGATTTAAAATGTAGACTTTACCCAAGCTGCAAAAAAAAAAAAAACAATTTTGTTTGAGTTCAGTCCATTTTTCTCTAAAACACATCAAAATATGAAAAAGCAAGCATAAATGGAAACAAAGTGGCATATCCCAAGGGAATTTCCATCTGTCAATATTATACATGTAACAATAATTCCTAAAAAAAATTAAATACCTGTTACTTATTTTTCCCTCCCTAAGAAGCCTTAGGGTAGGCAGGTATCATAAAAAGCAAATCACATCTTGTAAACTATTGCAGATATAGACTACTCCTTACTAGTCTTTTTCTTCACTCAGTCTGGGGGAAGAAGAGGAAAATGAACCGTAGTCAACAGTGAGCTTTTTTAGAATGTGGTAGGATTTCAGACAACAGTGCTTGAGAAACAATAACTCCACTGAAAACAATCCTTAGTTCCTTTCCCCGAAACCACAACAGCAGGATTCTAACAGTTTCTCAACATTTGTAACAGGGGCTTGTAACTGTCTCATAAATGAGAATCAAACAAGAGAGGCAAACAAAATGAAATGATAATATCTGAGTCTTCTGAAGTATTAAACAACAGCCCTGTAAGACTATAAAGTCGAGACGTTCAATCCAGAGAACAGAAAACTGTTTTGCCTTTTAAGCACAATTCAGGAATAATTTAAAAGGTAGAAATGCATGACGTGTGTACATTCAATGAAACTTAGGGTTGCCATTTTTTTTTTCATTCATTCCATGGATGTTTACTGAGCCCCTAACTGTGCAAGCCACTTTTAAAATGCAGCTCTTCTTGGGCACAGTTTAGGGACGGCCCAAGTGACATGCACACTTCTCCTCCCAATACCCTATTCGGCTTCTTTGATGTCCACTTTTCCATTCCCGAGGCCCTACTGCGCCAAGACCTGTCTTCTTCCTTATTTCAACTTTGATTTAATTAGCCGGGATAACTCTCCAGCGACGGACAACTCCCGCATCCAGACGGACGGGAAAGCGCTCACAGAAAGGGTCACTAGACCGGGCGGCAGAGCAGGAGGGCTTCCCAAAAACTCCCCGTGTCCTCCCACCCCAAATGAGGCTCAGCTGAGCACTCGCCTAGATTCTCTCCCCAGACCTGGGAGTAGAAATGAAACCATCCAAAACCTCAGGGCGTTGCGGGGAAGGACGGGTGGGGTTCGGAGGGGCAGAGAGGGGCCGCGAAGGATTTCACAGCCCTGAACACACTTCTGAGCAGCGCCCTGCACACAGCAGGCGCTCAATAAATGCACGTTGCACTAACTGCACAGATCAGAGATTCTGAGCCCTGAATTATACAATGGGAGAGATCGGAGATCCCCAAACAGAGCACCCGGGGTGACCCCCCCCCCCAACACACACACATACACACACCCGGTTTCAGAAGGCCCTTGAATGGGGCGGGGGGATGAGGAAGGAGCCCCGCGACGGAGGCGGAGGCCGGCCGGAGCGCCGCGGGAGGAAGGGAGGCGGCGGCCAGACAGGAGCCGACGTGGCCGTTCCACTGGGGGCGTGGGGGCAGCCCCTGGCCCCGGGCCTCCCGGCCAGGCTCGCGGGGCTGGGCTCACCTCGTCCTCCTTGTGGTTCCGGATGCCGCGGACGAGGTCCTGCAGGTTCTTGTCGAACATGCGGTCGATGCTGCCCTTCACCATCTTCAGCGCCATCGCGGCGGCGGCAGCGGCGGCGGCCGGAGCCGGACCGGGGCTGGGGCTCGGGGCGCCGGGGCGTGGGGAGCGGGCTGACGGGCGGGGGTCGCCGGCCTGGGCCTGCCGCCGGGGGCGCTCCGAAGCGAGGGAGGGAGGGAGGAAGGGCAGGGGGCCGGACCAGAGGCTGTCACATCCCAGGCGGAGGCGGCACGGGGCGGTCGGCGGCAGCGGGACCGGCGGGACCGGCGCCGGCTTGCTGCCTGCTTGCTTCTTCCCTCAGTGCTCCCGCTCCAGTCAGATTGCAAATGGCGGACAAAATGGCGGCGCGGTCAGCTGACAGCTCTCGCCGCTCCCTCCTCCTCCCTTCGCTTCCCGTAGGCCCCGCCCACTCCCCTGGCCCCGCCTCTCCTGGAGACTGGACCCGCCTGGTTCCCAAGGACGCCGAATCCGGCTTCCCCCACCCCTAGCGGCCGCGCGCCACGTTTCCTTAGCGACCCCTGGGCCGCCCAATCAGAACGTCCTTGGCTCCTCCTCCCTGCGCTGAGAGCCCTTTCCTCCACCCTCTGACAAACTCAGGCCCCTCCTTGGATTCTCCTCCACGGGCCCCGCCCCATTGCGCGTAGCCCCACCCACTCAGGCTCCAAAATTTGTCTCATTGGTAACTTAGAAATAATGGCCATGCCTCTTCCAGACTCCTTTCCCCCCCACCGTGGGCCCGCCCCTCTTTGAGTGACAGCTGGGGGGCAAACGTAAAAAAGTCTGGGGGCGTTGACACGCGTACCTTGGAAGGCCAAGCCCCTATAGGCCCAGCTGGCTCCCTTGCTGCCCATCAGCCTGGCACGAGCTACCGGAATAACCGATGCTTTCCTTTCCTTTGGATCATTCATTCCCTTCTTCATTCAGTTAACATGGAGTAAGGTCCTACTGTGTGCAGAGTGAGGGCTGGAGAAAACAGAAAGTTTAGAAGAGACAAGGTCCGTGCCCTCATGGAGCTCACGGGCTGAGGGGGGAAGATAAGATACAGAACTAATTTCTGACATTGTATGAGAAGCACATAAAAGAGATATAGACCACATGCTATCTGGGATGGGGCATGTAGGTGGCCCCATCCGATGTGGGAAACATGTGAGTTCATTAGCTGTGTGACCCTGGGCAAGTCCCTTAACCTCTGCCTCAGTTTCCTCATGTGTAAAATGAGCTTAATAATAGTACCTACATCCCAGAGTTGTTGTGAGGATTAAATGGAACAAGATTTGTAAAAGGTGGAGGGGCCAGACAGCCTGGTTGTTTGGAGTGACAGGGGAAGGAAGGGACTTTTAAGTTGAGCTTTAAAGGTAGACAGGAATTGAAGTGATGAAAAGGGGCTTTCTAAGTCATAAGATCACAGCTCTAGAGCTGAAAGAGGTGTCTGATGTCATCTTGTCCCCCACTACTCCCATCATTTTAGGGATAAAGAAACTAAAGTAGTAAAGGGCCTTGAATTCCAAACAGAAAAGACTGAACCTTACATAGTGAGCAAAGCAATGAAGCCTCTCAAAAGGGCTTCTGAGCCTAAATCAGGGAACCTATTGAAAGTACCTTAGATGTCTCCTGTTTTAACTTTCTGCTAAGTGCAAGAAGCCTCCTCTATTTTTTTTTTTAATTGATGGAGTCATCTCTTTTACCCCTCCAATGATGAGTTCCTTACCTAGAAGCACCCTGTACCATTACTGGACAGCTCAAACGGTTAGAAATTTGTTCCTTCTGCTTGAGGTTTTAGATAGATAAAGATAGAGAAGTAGAGAAAGAGAAAGAGAAATTGATTTTGCTTTTCTGTGCATTTTCAGGGCTTAGCACAGCACTTGACACATAGTAGGTGCTTAAGAAATGCTAGCTGAGGGGCAGCTAGGTGGCACAGTGAATAGAGCAACGGCTCTGGAGTCAGGAGGACCTGAGTTCAAATCCAGTTTTGGACACATAATACTTACTAGCTGTGTGACCCTGGGCAGGTCACTTAACCCCATTACCTAACAAAAACAAAAACAAAAACAAAATGCTAGTTGAGGGGCAGCTTCGTGGCACAGTGGATAGAGCTCTGGCCTTGGAGTCAGGAGGACCTGAGTTCATATCTGGCCTCAGACACTTGGCACTTACTAGCTGAGTGACCCTGGGCAAGTCACTTAACCCCAATTGCCTCACCAAAAAGCAAAAACAAACAAACAAACAAAAAATGCTAGTTGACTAACTGGCAATCAATATCCTTGTAGCTTCCTTCCATTCAATTAATCAACAATCATTTATTAAGTGTCTATGTGCCAGGCATTTTGCTAGTCACTGGGGCACAGAGGAAGGGGGGAGGAGGGAGAGAGGTTCTTGAGAAAAAAAAAAAGAATCCACTAATCACTCTTCAAAAGATACCTTAAAATGAAACTCCAAGGAATGTCATTGTCAAAATCCAGAACTTTCAAACAGAAGAAAAAACACTGCAAACAGCCAGAAAAAAAAAATCAAATATCAAGAAACCACAATCTGGATCACATAAGATTTAGCAACTATCACAACACAGGAATGGAGAATATGGAATGAGGTATTGCAAAAGATAAAGATTTATAATCAAAAATTACCAACCATAATTGAGTATAATACTGCAAGACGAAAAATAGATCTTTGATGAAATAGAGAACTTTCAAACATTCCTGATGAAAAAACTAGAATTGAAAAGAAACTTTGAAATGCAAATATAGGGGATGAGAAAAGTAAAAATGTAACTACAAATGAACAATCAGAACTTTATAAGAACAAACTGTTTACATTCTAACAGGAGAGGTATTTAAAAAGCTCTTTCATAACCTTGATGTCACAAAGAATCATAGAGGTAGTCAATTAAGACAGAAGACCTATGGATAGTTATATTTTGAGGATGCTGTAAGAAAAAGAAAAATGAAGGAGGAGAGAAGGACACATTAGGAGAAATTAGGAGAAAAGATAGGGGAATTTGTTACTGTATAATTGGGTTGTGCTAGGAGAGCTATATATAAACATTGAGGGAGTGGGAAGAGGAATCACCTGAACTTCACTTTCATCTAAAGTGATGAAAAAAGGGCAAAACACACATAGATACACAAAGAATGTGATATAGAAATATATTCAACTATGTATATGTAGAGCCTATATAAAATTGCATACCATGTTGGGGTAGGGGGAAGAGAGGGATGGGGAGAAAATTTGGAACTTAAAATCTTATGGAAGTGAACATTGAAAGCTAAAAATTAATTAATTAAAAATATATATTCAACTAAACAAAGATACAGATAGAAATAGGAAGTGGGGGAAGGGGAATATAAGAGGGAAGGTAGACTCAGAGAGGGATTGGTCATAAACAAAAGAAAGCCTAAGCATGGAGAAGGGATAGTGAAGAAAAGATTAAAAAGAAAAAAAGGGGGGGGGGCAGCTAGGTGGCACAGTAGATAGAGCACCAACCCTGAAATCAGGAGGACCTGAGTTCAAATCTGGTCTCAGACCAAACACTTGGCACTTACTAGCTGGGTGACCCTGGGCAAGTCACTTAACCCCAATTGCCCAAAAAGAAAAAGAAAAGAAAAAAAAAAAAGAAAGGTTTATGACTTGAAAAAAATGGGAAACAAAGAGTATACAGAAGAAAAGAGTCTAAGAAAATAGAACGGAGAGAAACAAACAATTAAACTTCATAACTGTGAATGTGAATGAGATAAACTAATCTATAAAATGGGAGGTTACCAGAATGCATTAGAAAACAAAATCTGATGATATATTGTTTACAAGAAATACATTTGAAATACAAAGACTCAAAAAAAGTTAAAATAAGAGGTTGGAACAAAATCTTTTATGTCTCAGCTGAATTCACACACACACACACACACACACACACACACACACACACACACACAC